CAGAGTCTTGCTCTGTTGCCCTGGATAGAGTGCAGTAGCATCATCATAGCTCACTGCAACCTCCAACTCCTGGGCTCAAGGAGTCCTGCCTCCTTCTGCCTCTGCCTCCCGAGTAGCTGGGACTACAGGTGTGTGCCACCATACTCAGTTCATTTTTTGGAGTCAAGGTTTTATTCTGTGGCCCAGGGTAGAGTGCAGTGGCATAATCATAGCTCACTGCAATCTCAAACTCCTGGGCTCAAGCGATCCTCCTGCCTCTGCCTCCCAAGCAGCTTGGACCACAGGTGTGCACCACCACACCCTGCTAATTTTTCTATTTTTTGTAGATACAGGGTCTTGCTTTTGTTCAGCTGGTCTCAAACTCCTGACCTCAAGCGATCCTCCCACCTCAGCCTCCCAGAGTGTTAGGATTATAGGTGTGAGCCACTGTGCCCAGCTGACTTCCTTGACCATTTCTAACTACAGCATTCAGAGTAAGCATTTTTAGAGGATCATATGGAAGAATGAAGCCTGGCAGTGATTTCTTTATTTTTTAATAAAGCTATAAACTCCATGAAAACTATAGAATTTCCTGGGCTTCAATAATTTATTACTTACCAATGTAGCTCAATAGTTATTCAGGATCCGAGTGGCATACTTTAAAGCAATTATGATTGAAGAAATACTAACTTAGTAAATGTTCTACCACTGATTTTCACCCTTCACTTTACAAAAGGACAACTTGCTTTGACTCTGGACAGACCACTCTTTGACGTTGTCCAAACTCCGTTGGTGGTTTTGCCCTACGTTCTCCGACTGGCTGGTACGATCCAGCCGGGGGTCTGTTATACACTGGAGCTCAGCAAGCTCGGGTCTGATGGCCAGTCCCACCCTGATACTGGTGAAGCAGTTGTAAGTTAAGAGTGAAAACAATTAATAAAAGACATCAAAATATAGGCCAGAAGTGGAAAGCCTTTTGCAAAACAGGAGTCCAGAACAAGTCTTGGCTCACGTGTCACAAAAGACGACCTGAAGATACAGCACTTTTGGGGTTAGAGTGTTCAAAATACAATTGCTGAGAAATTTTAAGTTCCTTGATACAAAGACATGTCTGATATTTTACTAAAGAGACACCACTGGAGTGAAGAGGTTCCTTGAGCCTGACTCACAGCAGGTGGGAATAATTTCTCTTCAGTTTAACATCTACTGGCTTTATAGCAGCTTATCTCTACGCTCAGAGAACAAGATTATAAGTTATGGCTCCTAATATCCACACCCTAAAATCGACGGAGGCAGAAAGGCATCTGAAAGCATACATGTCAACGGCTCAAAGTCATTACAGTACTTCGTGCTGCGCAGACCCTGCCCTGGCCGCAGGCGGATGGGAGGCAGCGGACGGGAGGCTCACGAAGGCTCGCAGAGCTGCTCCGCTCCAGCCACTGCCCAGGCCTCCCTTCTCTTTTCTTGGGAACCCACATACAGAACCCCCACTCATCTCTTTCCTTTTCAACCGTGGCCAACAAACTGTTGTGGGGGGTACCCCAAAAATATACTTTGAGCCACTTACTCCCAGAACAACCATGAAATGTGAGATTGCTTGGAACTAGGCCTCTTTCAGGACGCAGGGCTAGAAGCTGCTGTGGGCTGTCCAGTGTCAAGAGCATGCGCCATGGCAGAAGCCCAGCAGGGCCAGGGCGGCGGGGGACAGGCTCAGGAGGGTCTGTCCAGGTGCTGCTGCAAGGGTGAGCCCTGCGTTTCTCCAACATGAGAGACAGCACAGGGGAGGGTGAGGTGAGCACGTGACAGGGACGACAGAGGAAGAGAGAATGAGCAGTCTGTTTTAAATAGCGTGGCATTCAAATGAGGAAAAAAACCCAAAGGAAAATATAGTTTGATCGAGGGAATTCAAACCTGTGGTGTTTTTCACTCCTAGGTCAGAACGGGACAAAGGAAAGATTCTTCTAGCCATTGTTCTAGAAGAGCAATCTAAAATCTATACTCTGTTCATTGTGATAGTTTCAGTCCTGAAAATACCTGTTCACAGGGGCATGTGAAAAAGTCTGAAGAGTTCAAATCTCTTTTTGAAATCCTCTCAGTCTAGTTCAGGCCATGATGGGATATAAAACCTCTGTAAGGAGCCTTCCAAGAGGCGTTCCATCCATAAGGACAACTTGCTCAATTTTTCTTTGATGGGCCTGGATCCAAGGCCACAGGAAGATTTCCCTCGAGATTCCCCCAGCTGGAGGGAAGAGTCAAGATTGCTGCATGATCCCAGGGCTTCCTCCTCTTCGACTGTTTTTTGGGGCTTGAAAAGGCAGAAGTATTTCTTGTGGCCATTCAGAGCCAGCACATAACCAGTGTAGTCACGTTCCATGAAATGCTTATCATACTGGTTTGGGATCGGGGCTGCATCTTGAGCAAATTCTAGTAAGTATTCTAGCCATTCTCTGTGTTTATCTAGACTCAGGAAGGAGAAGTGTAGGCAGTTGCTCCTGTAGGAAGAATAGAATGAGGTTTCAATATATTTCTAACACATTTAATTGCAGGGAAAGTAAATACCTCAGTGAGACTTCAAATACCAGGAAAAGGCTTTGTGTTGGATGGGGCCTGAACACAGAGAAAATGAAGATTTCTGTGGGAGCCAGAGGGCCTCTATAACAGCTGTGACACTTCAGTCACCCATCCCCCCATCCCCTGCTAGGTATAACTTATATCACTCTCAGCGTCTGGCTTCTGGAAAACACACATGGGTTAGAGAACAGTCAGTTTTCTGAAAGGGCTCAGGGAATAACATTGAGTTCTAGCTCTTCTGTTCAGAACCAACAGAACATGAAGTCAAGTGGGAAAAGAGGTCCCTCTCACGATGGCTTCGATGTCTGGGTTAGAAAGGTCATAGCCAACACCTTGCTCTGTGGATAAGGCCCTGATCAGCCAAAAAAGGAAGGGGGGCAGTTCTCCTCTGGTCCCCTCTTTACACAAAGGTGCAGGCTTCCTCCCTCACATGCGCGCACACACGTATGCACGCGCACACTCACCCAGTGAACGTGTAGACCTCCAAAGCAAATTTCTGTAGTAGGATGTTCTTGGTGGAATTTGACAGGATAAGGACCACGTTCATGTGGCCTGGCCTCAGGCGTACCAAGTTACTGGTGTATGTTACATCTGTGAGTTCAGTTACCTCCACAAAGCCTTTCTTAGGAATCTTGCTGTGGAAAAACATTGAAGAGTTAATTGGTTATCAGGATAGGGGAACGCTATTACTTTAAAAAGGAACAAGTAGAAGAAACTGCTACGTTCTAACCAGACTAGAAATGTTATTTAACATTCTTGAGCCTCACACATTGGCAAGCTGGGGAAGACCCTGACTTGGTAATCCCTGGCCACAAACGGTCTCTCTGATGCTGCCTTGCAGATGGCGTAGGAGTCGTGTTGGGACAGAATGAAGACAGCAGCCATCACGCACTCTGTTCTGTCTCTGATGCCCTGGCAAGAGGCCAGGGTGTGTGCTGACAACTGATCACATTCATCAGCAGTTATGGGGACAAACCATCCTCTGCTTGTGGCAGCTCTACCTGCTCACTGACATGCTTCTTTGCTTCTTGCCTTCATCATTAAATCTGAGACTGGGAAACGAAGTCACGGAGTGTAAGGTAAGTCGGTGCTGTTTCTAAATACCTAAGGGCCTTAGTAAACACTAGCCGGCAGTGACCACGATTGACACGCAAGGTGAACCGGAGTTCTTCTGTCTACCATACATCCCAGCACCGCTTTATTCGAACACACGGCCTGCGGTCAGGTGCTGAGGGGAGGGGAGTTTGGGGTTTGTTAGCGAAACCTGGTGTTTTCTTTGGTGAAGCTCGGCTCAGCCTTCCCAGCCTTCTCACGGGCATCCTCTTTATCTGGAGGGCTTGATTCTCGCTCATCACTCGCGTCGCTGAAGTCAAAAAAAGGAGTTTTACACAAAAAGCGTACAAACCACCATGGAGGTTTGGGACTCACCCCTCAGCGCTGCACTGAGAAGCCGCGGGGCCTTTACCTGAAAGCCTGGACCATGACGGTGCCGAAGAGGACGAAGAGGGCAGAGAAGATCAGGGACAGGAGGGGCATCATTTCCCGCCTAAAACCAAGTTAATAAACTTATTAGCCCGATGTGGGATGTTGTGATTTTAGGTTTCTTCTCTCCAGCTCAAAGAAGAAAAAAAATCCCCAAAAAGCTTTCACACCAATAAACACTTTCTAATTTCATGCAAATAGAGGCTATTTTTGGTGTTGGGTGGTGGAGGGAAAGGTAGAGATTGTTTCCTCAGTGTTCTAATTCATAGACAGCTTATTCTATTCTATTCTGTTTATTTATTTTGGAGACAGAGTCTCGCTCTGTCATCCAGGCTGGAGTGTAGTGGCCTGATCATAGCTCATTGTAACCTTGAACTCCTGGGCTCAAGCGAAACTTCCACCTCAGCCTCCTGAGTATTGAGGACTAGCCTGGCTAATTTTTAAACCGTTTGTAGATAAAGTCTTGCTATGTTGCCCAGATTGGTCTCAAACTCCTGGCCTCAAGCAATCTTCCCAAAGCGCTGGGATTACATGTATGAGTCACTGTGCCTGGCCCCACAGACAGCTTATCCTAAAAGTCTGATTTTGTATCTCAGTATAATAGGCTCTGCTTAATAAATCCTGCATAAGGAAACAATAAAAGGGATAATAAAGGATTCAAGTTGTACACATGGAAGAACTTTCTGATGTTGAGGTATCAGTGACTAAAAAGTCTGTGGAGAGTTCGAGGTTGCAGTGAGCTATGATGATGCCACTGCACTCTAGCTGGGGCAACAGAGCAAGACTGTCTCCAAAAAAAAAAAAGTCTGAAGTCTGTGGAATTATTTCCTAAATTTTATCGATTTTATTCTGCCCAGAATAATTCAGATGTAGCCCAGAGGGATGGAGTAGGGAGAGAAATTGATCTTTCAAGATTTCATTTAGAATTGGTGTTTTAAATTTTATTCACGAAAAACCCTCATCAAAGGCCTGCGGTTTCTTAGGCACTGCGCTGGGTGTCATGAATCACAAACATGAATAACCTGTGGTTCTGTCCTTGAAGAACTCATGGTCTTACTGGGGAGTGGGAGCGCGATAGCCCTTCTCTGATTAATTCACTGACTTGTTTGTACATCTGTACACTGGACTCCAGTGGAGGGCAGTCATGGGTGAGCCTTTCCTAACCAGTGGGAAAGGTTCAGTGGGAAAGGGTCAGTCAGCAGATAGAAAAAAAGTGACATTACTATAAGAAAACGGGGAACAGTTGTTGAAGATGTATAAACATTCTTCCACTTGCCCATATCAAGCATACACTGAAATTTAAAAAGGATGGATTCTTTTCAAATAAAAACAATTATACCAGTATTAACGAAGAAAAAGAAATTCGACCTAGCCACATCCCTACCAGTTGTTGTAAAGTATGTTATCCCAGCAGTCCGAGATGTAGTCAGCAGCAGAGTAGAGCCACCGAAGGAAAAAAACCTATTGAGAGAGAAAATGGACGATGGTCAGGTCCGAACCCCTCACCGCCCAGCACAGCGCTGCTGCCGGACGTCTGCTCTTGGCAGAGATCCGTCACCGGCACTGTGACCTGGAGTCCTCGCTGGCCCCGATGCTCACAGGAGCGAGTTCGTCGGTCAGGTCGGGAAGCACAGCTTCAGAGGACAGAAGAGCTGGATCTTTCCGCAGCTGGTCGAGATAACTCAAGAGGATGAACTTATCACTCTCACTCCCGGTCCAGGGATCTTCCAGGGTTTTATACACCACCCTTCCGGCCGTGTTGCGCCTTTCTAAGATAGACACCTGCGAGCAAAGGAGAGGAAAACTATCAAATGTCTCAAAAGCATGCAGTTGTTTGGTTTTTTTTCAGGGAGGATGGAAAAAAGGGTCCAGGGAAGTTAGCAATGAGCTCAAAAACAAATACTGATGAGTCTAAAGTATTTGCAAAAGATTTAAATCTTTCTGACAAAAGAAATTATTTTTATGGTGACTTTTCAAAGCTTTTGTTAAAGATTAAAACTCTTGGCCGGGCACAGTGGCTCACGCCTATAATCAATCCTAGCACTCCGGGAGGCCAAGGTGGGAGGACTGCTTGACATCAGGAGTTCGAGACCAGCCTGAGCAAGAGCTAGACCCCGTCTACTAAAAATAGAAAAAATTAGAGTTGGGCATGGTGGCATGTGCCTGTAGTCCTAGCTACTTGGGAGGCTGAGGCAGGTGGATCGCTTGAGCCCAGGAGTTTGAGGTTGCTGTGAGCTAGGCTGATCCCATGACACTCACTCTAGCCC